CTTAAACCCAGATTTTCGGATAATGTCAGAAGCTTTTTGACCACTACACCGAGGTTCTAGAATCACTACAATACTAGGCTTATATTTCCTAGTAAACAGAAAAAGCGAATTTTGAAACTGGGGTTTCACTGCTCCCCTACAGTTCCAGAAGAATAAATTCATTAAAAACTATGTTGAACGCAAGACTCCAAGGTTCTTGCATCCTTCATTCTTGAAATATCTTCCTGGTGAACTCTGTCCACCTCCATGCACGTAGAGATGGTTGAGGTTTCAGGATTTTGGATGTCGCTGCTGTTGTCAACTGATATATCAGGACCAGTTTTATGAAATGTGTCATATAACTGCTCTTGATTCTGGTTCAAAGTGCTATCTGCTTTCATCCCATTTTCCTGATCATGTTGATTTGCTTGCATAGGACTAACCGCCATGGGAGTAGCAATTGATGGAGATGGTGGAATGGGAGTATGATCTTCACGATTTTCACTCTGGACTGGACACCTCTTACCCGTGCTTGAAGAATGAGCCGCATGCATAGCAGGAACCGTTGATTTAGTCCTAGGGGTATCTTTGGACTTTTTGGATTTAGTCCATATTTTCTGAGGAATTTCAAACTGAGGGCCCCCCATATGAGGAGTAACAGAATTAATTATTTGATTATGATCCTCCTCATTAATAGGTCCAGCTGTTAAGATTGCAAACCGTGATTGCGTAATTTCCTCCTTATCACCATGATTATCTCCATGATTATCGCTGGTCATAACTCCCTTATTACCATGATTACCGCTGGTCATAACTCCCTTATTACCATGATTACCATGATTATCGCTGGTCATAACTCTCTTATCACCATGATTATCTCCATGATTATCGCTGGTCATAACTCCCTTATCATTATTCCTTTGTAACGTTTTTGAACCAGCGCCTGGCTGGACTGCACCGGCCGTCTGAGGAGGTTGCCGGCTCCTGCGTTGACGATTAACAACCATCCAAGGTCCCAATCCTTTACTTCGATGGAATTCTGAGTTGCCAGGTTCCTCTTGATGAATTTGATCGTCATTATGAATATCGGATGAACTGCGTTGCTTTGGAGCAGCTGAACAATTCTCGGTGCTATGTCCATATTTCCCACAACCAAAACAAATGAGCCTTAATCCTTCATACTCAATTTGTTTGGTAAATCCTTCCAGCACATAATCACCCTTTAATGGCTGAGATAGGTCCAGTTCCACACATATTCTTGCAAACCGTCCTCTTACATGAGCATTTGTATTGTTGTCTACCTTGATCATCTTGCCTAACCAGTTTCCAATCCTTCTAAAAAAAGCTTCATAATAGAATTCAATGGGAATATCCGGTAGACGAATCCAAGCAGCAATCTTAGCAATTCCAGCACTATTAGGTCTGAAAGTTGGTTCCCACTTCCTCAACGATAAATAATGACCCAAAACAATCCATGGACCACCGTTCAACGCAAAATTGAGATCATCCTTCTCACTAAACTGGACTACGAAAAAGTCATTACCAATATCAGTGACATTGATTTTGCCTTTTCTAGCCCATAAGACATTTATTTTTTTCTTCATGAACTCCACCCCAATTTTCTTCCCAAGGAGTTTAACAATCAGAGCTTTCTCCCAAGGTTTCCTCATTCTCTTCCTTGCTCTTTTGGTGCAACTAAAATAAGTACGCCCATCATCTTCCTCCCACATCTTAATTCCTCCATGGTTGACATCCTCTTCCTCAGCAGGTTCCTCCCCATCTAAGTCTTCCTCGGCAGACGCCTCTCCTTCCCATTCATCATCTTCTCCATTATGACGCATCAGAATTTCCCTCCAGGTTGAACGTTGGTCATTCTCATCTTCCATCCAACCTTCATGTCTAGGTATCATAGATACATCATTTGAAAACTGATCTCCCTCACCTTTATTCCTCTTATTACTTCTTTGAAGAATGTCAAGTTCTTCACTTGATTTGCCAGGATTCTTCCCATGATCACCTTTCTCTCTCTCACTCATCGCTCAAAAAATACCCATCTATATTTTATCTTCAACCAAACATGGATTTCATAAAAGTTACCTAATTTATCCAGTAAATTTTTTTCAAACCAAATTACTTTTTTTTACATTTTCCTACCTATCTCACTTTGTCTCACTTTCCAATCATTTCCCCATCAATTATATTTTCCTACATACTATTCAACAAATTTCTCCTCAACCAAACGCCCCCTAAAAGAATATAACATTTTATTTAAAGATTTTATAATTCTTATTCAATATTATTAAAATATTTCTATGCACTTTTCAATTTCTGTGTTAGGTGGATATTACACATAGATTAAAATTTTCTTATATGAGTGATTGTAATTAAATATATGATTATTTTTTTATACAAGAGAATCCAAATTCCTCACACATATATATTTTTTAAAATATAAATCTCATATATCTTTTATCTTTATGACTTAAGATTTCAACTCTAGTCGAAAATTATAAAATCCTTTATTTAATAATAATTAGAGAATGTTTTTAAAGTGAGGAGGATTGCTTTGCATTTAATTGGCACCCAGAACCTAAACAAACTCAAAAAGTTAATTATTAGAGTGATTTTAAGTAAAGTCTTGTTATAGATAAATGCTATTACTGTGGTTCTTCCATTTACTGCAGTTGTCTGTTGCAGAGCACCACCAAAAATGGCACCTACACTTTCTTCAAGAACCTCCTCGCCTATGGTCATGGCACAAGAATGGCAACACCCCCACCCTCTCATCCTCCGCCCCTTCATGTCAGAGGCTACAACGTCCCTCACCCGAATCCCTTCGGCCACAAAAATTGGAGGACTCCGATCATAGTCGCCGTAAGCGTGATACTCTTTGTAATTCTGGTGCTGCTGCTGCTGATTTGGACCATCTATAAAGTGCGGCGTCGTTCGCCACAACCAGTTGCTGCTCCGCAACCCATTATTCTGCCGTCATCTATGGAGGAACGATCACCCTCCCAGTACTCTTCGCCTGAAAGCTGGGTTGTCAGTGGGATTATTACAGGTCGATAAGAACTACGTACTACGAGCGAGCTATTAGGAGAGGTTTTATTTGACCAGGTTCTGTTTTGTTATCTATTTCCGTTACCTGTAACCTTTTAAGCTAAAACTCTGGGTAAAAACTATGACATTCACATATCATTACTTTTCTTTGAAGCCTTTATTCAACAGTTATACAAACGTGAATGACTGAATGTAATACTATTTAACATAAAAAGTTTATATGTCAGTAGCTGGGTTTCTTTTCGTTACACGGTAACATAAACCATTAAAAAGATTTTTGGTTGAAGTCGCGTTTAACATGATATTGGAGCTTCAAAGAACATAAAGTCACGAGTTCGATTCTCACAGCCTTCACTTTCAAGTGAAATTAAATAAATAAAAAACACAAAAAGATAAATCAAAAATTGGACCTATGCAATATTCATGTTTCAAGCTCAAAGAACTTGGCTTGTGCAATATCCATATTTCAAGAGCAAAGGGGAGGGCTTACCCTAAGCTTTATTTTTGGTTGAAATGACATTTAACACTTTTCGGTGATAGTAATACTGTTACATATTTGAAATGGTTACGGGAAATTCTGCCAAATCTTTCATGATGTTTTATCACAGAGAGAGAGAGAGAGAGCAACATTGTCTCATCCTTCAATGGCAGTTTTTAACACCATGTATCCATTTTCAAGTCCCCGGTTTTGTGCCACTTAAGACATATGCTTCAAATTACAATTTGATTTCCAAAATTTAAAGTGAGAATTAAATCAAGATGGCTGAACATCTTAGAGAAGATGTGTGATATGGTCCAAAACAGTTTGTGGCTGAATATCTTAGTTTCAGTTTATAATACTTAATCAGTTAAACCCATTAAATTTCTTTTTTTTTAGATAAACATTGAATTTAATTTCAATAATTTAACCCTTGAATTGAAAGTTCTAATGCGATAGATCAAGCTCATGAATCTTTGTTACATGCTTCCATCTTCATAGATATATTGATAGCTTCAATAGTTTCATCTCAATGTTTAAGCCTTTCTCACTCTCTCATACGGTGAATGATGATGCATAATCTTCACTATAACTAAAAATTTGATGGGATGTAAACAATTTTAACTTAAGTGCCCTGCCTTGACCATTGCATTCTTAAATACCTTGCAACTAATTTAAGAATTTTTCTGCATTACTACAACATGAAGCTAAAGCCCTGTCTGAAGAATCACTTCCATTTCATTGTTCGGTGCTAAGCCTGACTCACATGGCACTAGTTAAATTAGAAAAGACTTTTATTTTAAAGTTTGTTATCATTGTATATATTACCTTAACTTTCTATGAATTTGTCCATTAATAATTGGTAGGATTTTGGAGTGATTTTCTGTGATAATATGTTCCATTGAATGTTCCTTTGCAATTCAACTGCAATCATTGTTTCATCTCTGTTTTCAGGCATTGCATTTCATCAAAATACACATTGTATGGTAACATAGTTAATCGTCTAATTTTGTTTTCATTGATATGCACAACCTTTTACTTTGTTATGATATAATGTTGATGGTCTCCATCTTCGGTCTGGAATATCATGGGAGAATATTTAGACTAATGGTAAAAACTGTTAAAGAAGTTGGAGGATATTTAGAATAGTTGTTAGTAGATTGGTTAGTAGTTGTGATCTGTTATCATTTTCAGTTTGCTGATATATGCATCTTTGTGTATGGACTCGAATATAAATAATGGTGTATGTACTGTAAGGAACCATTCAAGAAAGTAATAAACCAAGTTTCTTTTCGTTTTCTCCGTTAGGCACTGCATTCCTAACAGAGAGGATGATCAAGGGTGATAATAGACAGCATAGTGAAAATCCCAAGCAAAGAGATACATATAACTCATTAGAAAAACAAATTCTTTTAAGTAATGAGGTCACATTTCTTTTATTTATTTATTTTGAGCTTCAAACAAAGCTTGATCAAAATATGAATCAACAGGACTCACCACCAGGTCCTCCAAATTGGAGAGCATAATTAAAAAAATCATTCACATATCCATAGTATTTAACACCAAAGCAATCTGGTTTGTCGGTGTATGGTTCTGCCAAATATTCTGGAGGTCCATCATCTTGTCTGGAAGCATTCCGAAACGTAACATTCTTGAAATAACATGCATGAACAAAGTCACCATCAGGAAAGTATCCAGATCCCATTGGAGGGCTAGGTGCACCACCAGTTGTTGTTGTTCTCCCACCCCACCCTACTTGATCTGCTGAGGTCAGGTTGGAGAATAAAGCTGCTGGAAAATATCCAACATTTTTATTTTCCAAATTTAACCACCAATTTTTGGTAACTGGGTCCTGCAAACATCCATAAACTTTTGTTAAAAATATATCATAGCTAGCCTTTGCTCGATCGTCACATATAAACTTTGTCATTACATTTACTTGAGAATTTATGGTTGGTGAATTGAATAAATTTTAACCTTATATAAGTTGAATATAATTCTATCTTATTGAGAAAATTTTGTGGATCGGGCATAACCTGGTGAAGATAAGATGTAATCACAAACATTTTCCCACCATAGGTAGATGTATTATCCACAAGTGCACCGAGGTAAATTTCTTTGTCCGTCTGAACAAAACCTGGACATTGTACATTGAAGCATCCTGTCTTCTTGGAATTATCTGACTGCCATTTATTAACATCACGTTAAATTTTGAAGGAATGAAACTTTTTTTTTTTTTTCAGTCTACCTCCAAAGCAAAATTACATTCAAAGCAAAATTGAAAATTTTGGCAGAAAGCAAATAATTTATAAAAAATAATTTAATATAAGCAAATGGAGCTTCTCTATAGGATAAGTAATGGTAAAAATATATAAATAAAACTTTCCTTACCCAGTATGCGTAGACGTGAGTTCCAGCGTCACCGTATAATTGCGGATGTATCTAACACCAATGCGTAGGATAAATTAGGTAATATTTTATATATCATTAAAATTGACTCAAATTAACAATATATATATAGGTATGATCATTTGACACTGATGTCAAATTTCAAAATTTGACATTAAATTTCTGTCAATCAACATTTATTAATTTTCAATGTATAATAATTGTTGATTGACAGAAATCAATGATTGAGATTTGGTGTCAAAAATCAAAGTTTGATAACTGTGTTAAAGAATTCTGTCTTTATATGTAGCAACATCCTTTGATATTGGTATCAAACTTTAAAATTTGACATCAAATCTTAATCATTGATTTTCACCGATCAATGATTATCATATATTGGGAATCAAATTTATGATTTAATTATTAATTCCTAAAAAATAATAATCATTGATTGATGGAAATTAACGATTATGATTTGGTGTCAAAGAATTCTCTATATATATTCATTTTTTAAAAAAAGAAAATATTGCGATAATTTCACAAATTAAAACTCACGTGCCATCCGGTGAGGATTTTACTAGTAGCATCTCCCTTTCCATTTTGAACCCATATATGAGAAGAGGTTGTTTGATCTTTCGTAACTTTCAGACTATAAAGGCTATTTTCTCCACCAACGCCGTAATAAGGCATATTAGGAACTGTTATAAGATATAGTTTTGCAACCTACGGATTCAATAGATTCAGATAAGTTATCCAAAATTGAAACATTACATGTTGAAATAAACTAAGAATATTTGACATTGAGTTGTACAAGAGAAAACTTACATGACTAACAGGACTGTCTTGACTTAGGATATGATTATTTAATAATGAATTGGCTCGAATGAGGTCATCTTTTGTTGTCCTCCTAATAGGAACAGTTCCTGTAGGACACTGGTCCTTCTCAAGCCCGATTATGGGTTTAGCCGGTGAACTATTCGAATTTGTTTTTCCAATTGTTTTTTGAAAGCTAGGTTTTCTCTGCAATTGAGAGAGGAAATGTAATCAAAGAAAAAAGATAAAAAAACATAACCACGTTAGACCTATTCAAATTGGGTGTGTACCTGCAACTTGTGATTCTTTAGTAAAGGATGGTCAAAAGCTGGTTGCTTGTTAATGTCGATGCAATCAACAATGTACCCAAACTTTGTCTATAGAAACCAAAATTAAAAAAATAAATAAAACCATGTGGTGAAATCAAATTCAACAAAAGGAAGCATATGGTGAAATATAAGATGTAAGGAATACATGAATACTCTTGAGGGGAATCTTGTTGATATCCTTTAGCTTTTGCTCCAACTCCAAATCTTCTTTCAGTGCACTTTGCATACCACCAACTATATGGCTGCTACTGCTACTGCTACTAACCAAACACAAGACAAAGAACAATATATTTATCATTTTCACACAACTCTCTTGTCAAACAAAATGATTCGATGATCAATTTCATTTTACTATAGCCTACTTTTATAGCAGTATGCTGCTGACTAAATGAAATGAATTAAGGTAACACATTTAATTTCATAATCGTCAAGTAAATAATATCAGGTGTTGACAGCCTATTTTACGGATTTTCCCCTTTATGTATATCCCTAAAATGATATGTAGTTAAATGAAAAAATAAATAAATTAATAACTAGGCATAAATAAAAAAATAATATAACATAAATATCAAGTGTTGACCGTAGATTCTTTTCCTTTATGTATATCACTAAAATGATATATAATTAAATGAAAAAAAGGAAATGAATAAATAAATAAATGGACTTAAAGAAAAAATAATATAATATGTTATGGACTTATATATAAGACCCATTTAGTATAAGAGGCAATTCAAATAAGAATATGATATAATGAAACGAGAGTATTAATCTAAGATATTAATCTTAATACGATAGCATCACTGTGCGCACAGTCGCACACAAACTGACATCACCCATTTGGCAAACATTGTTTTTTATTTTCTTATGCACGATAATCTGTTATACTCAAGGATATCTAATTCATTAATATCTTAGAGAGCACCTAGATCGAAGATAAACTCACTAGGCATTTCAGATAGACATATCTATCTTCATAGCATAATGTAAAACATTCAAGGTCATATTTGTAGATTATTTTCCTTTATGTGTATCCCTAAAATAATATACAATTAAATGAAAAAATAAATCAATTAATGAATAGGCATAAAGAAAATATCTTCAAATATGGCATTGAGGGGTGTTTGGTAGAGGAGATTTTTTTTTCTTATCAGAATATAATGGAAAAGTGAGTTTGCCAGGAATGTTACCAAAAAGTTGTTTGGTATGACAAAATATTATCAGAATTTTTGTCAGAATTTCACATCTAATTTTTTATTAAGTAAAGCCCCTTTTAGGTCCCTAACAAAAAACACGGTTCCCATTTTCGTCCGTTAAAAAAAAACACCCATATTAGTGTTTTTTTAAGGACTAAGAGCCCATTTGGATGAGTTTTTTTAAAAATGACTTTTATGCATTGCTTTTTTTAAAAGTTAAAGTTATTTTACGTTTGGATGTATGATCTAAAAATCACTTTTACATAAAAAGATTTGAATGTTAAAAAAAAACACTTTATATATATAAAATTACAATAAAGGAGAGATAAAATAGCATGATCGAGGGATAATGAGAGATAAAATAAGTATGATAGGATAAGGTTAAAATTTTATTTTAAAAATTTATATTATCTTTTTTCAAAAAAAAAATTTATTATCTTTTAATTTCTGCTTTTTTCAAGTACAACCAACTACTGGCTATAAGAAAAAGCAGCATTTTAACTTTTATTTTAAATTTTGCTTTTTTAAAAGTTGTTATCCAAATATCTAAAAATTCTCAAAAGGACTTTTATTTTTTAAAAAAACGACTTTTTAAGAAATAAAAGCTCATCCAAACTAGGGGTGTTCATCAACCGATCCAAACCGCGAAAACCGAACCGAAAAATCGATAACCGAATAAACCAAAAACCAAAAAATCGGAAACCGAAAGAAAATCGCAAATTTTAATTGGATTGGATTGATTTTCGGATGGGTTGATGAAAACCGATCCAATATATTAATTATCCTCTACTTACTTGTCATTTCTCCAATCATAACCCAAAAATTTCTAAACTCAAGACTCATTAACTCATCAACTAAATCTAAAAAAAAAACTTAGTCACGTCTCATCAACTATAGTAATGTTTACTGATATTTTTGTATTTCAAATTTTCTTTTTACAAAGCCAATATATACAAAAGATGTTATTTGCACAATAATCATGAAACTAATTTTAGGATATTCAAAAAACCGAAAACCGATCCAATCCAAACTGAAAAAATTTGAATTGGATCGGATCGGATTTGAAAAAAAATCTAAACCGAATGGATGATTACGTGATCAAACCGAAGGGATTGGATCGGATGAGTTTTGCTTCCAAAACCGATCCAATCCAGACTGCGAACACCCCTAATCCAAATGGGTACTAAATTGGGCCTTCATTGAATTTTTTAGGGATCACATTTTTAAAGAACCAGAATTGTAGAGGGATCAAAAGTTAATTTTTTATTTGTAAGGGACGTAAATGGGGACTGTATATTTTTTCAAGGACCCAAAAGAAGTTTTACTCTTTTTTATTTTCCGTGAAAGTGAGAATACCACCTTGTGAGTGGTATTCTTGGGTGGTATTTTGGTTTATGTTTTATACACAAAATAAAATCCTGAGAAAATTACATTTACAGGAAAAAATTTAGAAATCTTCTACCAAACATGGATAAATTAGATTACCACCCTTACTTTATCGGGAATTTGAAAATAAACTATCTACCAAACACCCACTTAATGTCATATTTGTAGATCTTTTCCCCTCATGTATATACTTGAGATAATATATGCTTAAATGAATAAAAGAAAAAGAAAAAGAAAAAGAAAATAATAACTAAGCATGAAGAAAAAATAAATAAATTTATAGATATTAGATTTGAACTTAGGTAAAGCTCTTAAGAGATTAAAAGAATATTTTGTATACAGAGAGTTCATTTTTCTTTATGTATATTATAATCCATCTTAGGCATGAACAAGGAGAGTCAAGTTGTTGGGCTTTTCCTTCTTAATGCTCCCAAGGCTCAATGTTGGTGAGTGAGGTTCTATGAACTTAAGGCTCAGTTAACCCCAATCCTCACTTTTAATATTTCTCTCCTCCCCTATATAAGCATTAGTTAAGGGTTGGAGGAGAGGTTGACTTGTTAGACACTTTTGAGATAATTTGAAGAGCATGGAGAAATTCGAGTGTTAAATCTCTTTAGGAAAGTTTGAGATAATATCACCATTATAGGTGAGGTTTGAGTGTATCACTATCTATTGGTAAAATTTGATCTTCTGTAACCCATTATTTTCATAATAGAAGTTTGATTCTAAACTAGTGTCCCGTGAATTTTTTATTTCTTCACATTGTAGTAGGTTTTTCCACATTATAATCTATTGTGTTCATCTCTTTGTCTCTCTCCTTTGCGTTTTTCGTTTCTACTACACATAGATTGACTTGATGAATTCAGGCCGACCTTTATAACCAAGTTCTGAGCTCGATATTTGACTTTCGCAAAAAAAAATTTGGTCGAGATTAAGGGTCTGTTTGATTCCTATTCTGAAAAATAGTTTTTAAGTTTTTAAAACAAAAAAGTAAATAAATCTGTTTGGAAATGATTGTTTTGCAAAATGCTTCCCAAAACAATGACTCTTTTTTAGTTTTAAAAACCAGAAAATCAAAACAAACTCTCGATGTTCTCCGGCAGCACTGTTTACGTGGTGGCAAAAATGTAAATTTCAGAATTCATTAATGGCAATTTCGTTAATATCAAGACTCAAAACAATTACTTTATGGTGGAATTTTTATAATTCTAAAACTTCATTAATAATATTTTTGTAAATAATTACAACTTCTTCATAACTTTAATTTAACTACACTCAAACAAGTTTTTTTATTTTTTACTCTCAAAAACAATTTTTAAAATTCATATTTAAAACATATTTTGAAAACAAAAAAACTAAAACACTTTCAAACACGTCCTAAAGAAACTGAGTTCTCAGCACAAAGCTGAGGAATCAATTACAATTCAGGGGCGCCAACCTTGGGCATCAGAGTTTCCTTTTCATAAGTATTACCTATTGAAGGATGGGGCCATATAATTTTGTTATTTTTAGCAGGGACAAAGATGAAATTAAATTAAATAATTTAAGACATCAGTAACGAGTTATATTATAAATTAGAAACAATAGTATAAATGATAAACATTTTTAAGAATGATAATGTATCATTTTTAATATTTAGAGTATATAAAAATATTTAACTTTATTCAATATTTAATAAGATCATAACATTAGGGTGTTCGAGGTCTAGATTGGATCAATTTTGAAAGCAAAAATCATCTGAACCAATCCTTTCGGTTTGATTATATAATTATCTATTCGATTTGAATTTTTTTTCAATTCCGATCCGATCCAATACAATTTTTTTCGGTTTTCAATTTATTGAAAATCCTAAAATTTGTTTCATGATTATTGTGCAAATGACATCTTCTGTATGTATTGACTTTATAATTTTATTTTTTTTGAAATACAAAAGCATCATTAAACGATAATATAGTTTTTTTTTTGGACAATAAGATATGAAGCTCTACATAGATGAAATTCTGTTGACGAGATGTGATTAGGTTTTTTTCTTGGATTTAGTTGATGGGTTAATGAGTTTTGGGCTTAGAAATTTTTGGGCTATGATTGGAGAAAGACCCAAATAGGTAAAAGAGAATTAATATAATAGACCGGTTTGGATTGGATTGGATCGATTTTCATCAACCAATTCGAAAATCGATCCAATCCAATTAAAATTTGCGGTTTTTTTCAGTTTTTTATTTTTTGATTTTTAATTTATTCAGTTATCAATTTTTTGATTCGGTCACCACTGATTGAATCGATTTGGATTGGTTAATTAACACCCGTACATAACAACACGATGCCATTCTCCTTATGTCTAACCCAAAACTATGAACCCATAACCAAGAAAAAATTATCCACTGATCCCTGTCTCCCCATGACCCAATTACCACTGAACAGAACCCATCGAGCAGTCACCACTGCTACACTAGTAAGGTTTTATTTGGGTTAATGGGCCAGATTTTGCAAAAGCATTGAAACAGTGAATGTTGGGTTTCGGAGATAGCTTAGTTAATTTTTAGCTTTTTCTGTAATGGTTTTTTATTTTTATTTTTTTGACAAGTTTGTAGTGGGTTAATTAAGGTTAACATATTTGTTTGACTTCTTAATTGCTCAATAAAATGTTTACTAAATTTTTGTTTTAATCCATGCAACATCTATTGTTTAGCATCTTCAATTGTCTTATGAATTGTAAGGT